TGCTTGCTCAACCAACCGTCAGGAAAAGGAAGCCAAAAATTCGCCGAACCGGACTCTCATGTTACGGATAAGTTTTTTACCTTAGCTTAGGACTAAAATTAATAGCAATAATGTCTGGCTAGTTCAGGAAACAAGCGGGGAGCCCTTCTGGCTCACCCGACTCTTGAAATGAGGTCAATTAACTCTTAGCTGAGATGGCTGCCTTCAGCACCCATCCTTATCGAACATGAAATATTAATAAGACTACGGACAACAACAAGTTAGAGTCTTGGACATCATAATTCAATGCTGATAAAGCTTGAATGTTTTCATTGAAACGATTGACAAAATCTCTCACACCAGTGATGTTTGAACTAGAAATGTTAGGTAGATCTAGCAGTTGATTTAAATGTAAAAGTTGTAAACGCCTGTCATTGTGGTATCTTTCTCTCAACAAATTGTATGCTACTGCATAATTGGGTCCAGTAATTTGGAGACTTCTAATCAAATTTAGGGGCTCTTTGTCCAATACACTCAAAAGGTATTGAAATTTTATTACACTAGACAAAGAGTCATTGGTGTGGATAGTGGAGTCATATAAATTTATGAATGATGTCCAATTAGTTAGATCTCCATCAAATTTTGAGAGTTCAAATTTAGGTAAACGTACCTGAGATTGAGCTGGGCTGCAACCAACCTTGGGCGAATCCGGGCTAGAGCCACTTTCAGGAAGCAGTGATTTTATATAGCTTGTAATGTGGATGAATAGGTCATTAATTTGATCTTCATCTTGACTTATAGTTTCATTATCCAAATCATCTTCACTTGATGTACTTACAATTCGCTGAAAATAAGAATCGAAGTCTTCTTTCTTCTTCTGGGCTTCTTGCATAAGAGTCTTTAAGGCTTCGTGTTGCACAAATGTTAATGTTTCTTCTTGTTCAACAAGTTGATCTATTATGTTTTTTATTTTGTTCAGACGAACTTTAATAAAAGATGTGAGTCGTGTATAGGTCTCAATTTTAAAATCACTATTTGGAGATGCCATTGTACAAAGATGAGGAGATAAATGTAAAAAATTCACAAAGTGTAAAATGAGAGAGTTAACAGTTTCAATATGAAAATAAGAGTTCAGTTAGGTAAGAGTTCAAAGGCACAGAAAACAATGGGTAAAATGAGGAAATATTGATGTATGAAGAGTTTTAGTGGAAGAAAGTAATTCCAAATCGCTTAAGTAATATCCGGCTCGAAGGACCATTAAATAATGTGTAGTGTTTGAGTAAATTAATGAAGAATAAAGAGATAAAAAATTAAAATCATGTTAACAAGAAGAACAGAAAGGAATGATGTTTATTTATATAATACAATGGTTTATCTTTAAATCATCAGCTGTTTTAGTAATTTAAAAATTCTAAACAGGCTAAAGAAAAATTTTAGACAGTAGAGTAGTCATACCTAAGAAATTGCAAGGTAAAGTCATCCAGATATTGCATGAACAACATCCTGGAATTACTCGAATGAAATTGTTGGCACGCAGCCACGTGTGGTGGCCTGGGATCGAAAAAGTAATTGAGGTTGCTGTGTCATCTTGTTTGATTTGTCAAAGTACAAGAAATGCTGCTTCAAAAGTTCTGTTCTGTATTTAATTAATCATTACTATATTTATCATCATAATTATTGTTCAATTAGTGGTAGCTTATTTCCAAACTAAATCTGTATTTTTAAGTCTCATTTCAATTTCATTAAGTATTGTTGTATCATATGTTAGACTCTCACTCACACAAGCCTACATAAAACACACACACTATCTGGGCTGTGTTGCGCGATGCAGGACGAATCCTATTGGTTAAAAAATGTGGCGTGATATGGACATGGATAAATTTGCGGTAGCCCTCTAAGAAACATTGAGGTAGCGTCCCTTCCCCCTCCAAAAATAATGTTCAGTTGAAATGTAACTCTCCTCGGCTGAATACGTGCATTGCGCCGTATTTCGTTAGTCTTTCTCTATTTATAAACTTTTACCGCTAAAACCGCTTCTCGGACTCTCTACCGCTCTTCTATCGTTTGTCACGAACAATTAATAAAACTTTCTCGACGTCAAACTCTGTAAAAGGTGTTTTTTTTTTTTATAAGTTATTAAGTACGTTATTGTCGCCGCCGCTAAGCAGTTACGTCCGCCGCGTCTTCGTCGCGAGTGCCTGTGTCAAGTGCCAACTTTAGTGGATTAGGATTACTGGATTCCCCACAAGTGTTCCCCAAAAGTGTGCACACTTCCCTCATCTCTACTCAATCTACAAGTTGGCTACCCTCTTCCCAAGACGTCGTCATCCGCCATCCACCCACGGCTTCCGCCCATGTGCCACCTCTACTCTCTAGTGTCTCTTGTTACTCTTCACCCTTGGATTATTGGTGAGTCATATATTACCCTCTTTACGCCCCATTTAATGGTCCTTCGAGCCGGATATTAATGGACAACGCTATGGACTTTAACAACCATCTCATACAACAGTAATTAACTCTCAATGAGCTATTCACCATGTGCTAAAAAAACTGTGAAAAGTGCGTTTGCGTCTCTATTAAAAACTATGTAATAATTATTCACTCGAGTAAACTGATTTGTTGACCGAAAATCTCACTTATAGTTGCAATATAATTTACTGCAATTTCGCTCAAATGATTTGGCGCTCGATCAGCCATTTTTTATTTGATCACGCCACCAATATCGTTTACTTCGTTCCCGCCCAACGTTGTTCCCGCCTCCACATTCAGCGTGTTGCATTCAACTTTGATGCGCCGACGCGACCTATGTTTGCAGATCACGTGGTCAGTTCCCCCTCACGCACCGAACGTTGCCTTTTAGCAGACGTTGCGCTCCCTCCCCCCTCAAGCACAGCTGATCGGCGCGGTGCAGACATAGAACTACTGCAGACTGATACGTCACTCGCTCCTGTCATATGATCGAGACACCAAAATAAACAAACCACAATACACTCTCTCATTCTCACATTGTCATTGTTCTTAGATATTGTTACGTCTATTGCTATTTTGCTGTAATGTAAATAATAATTCATTGAGAATATTCCTGGATATATTTATTTTAGTACTGTAAATAATAATTTCCTCTCATTCAACTCGCTTGTAAACAACTTAAGTTATTTGGAAAGTCTGATTATTTTCTGAGTTAGGTTGTATTTGAATTGGAGTATTTTAATTATGTATTTTAATTTTAATTTTTGATATCTTGCCAGGTATTATAGGCTCACATTTGCAGTTAAATAGCTATTAACTGTCTCTTTGTCATTGTAATGTATGTGGTTATATTTTACTTTATTGGTGAAAAAATTCATTTATGTTTTTGATGTGTTCGTTATTAATTAATTATTCTCTCATAAAACTTAATGATTAAGCTCACTGCTTCTTTAAAATAATAAGTAGGCCAATAATTCTTATTATTTTATTATTTGTATTTTATTTTCAATTGTATTTAAATAGGCTATCACAATGCCTACCCCAGCTGTCATCAAGTTTAGTACTTATGAGCGTTCAACCGCTTTAATTAAGGCAAGACTTGATAAAATCCTCACTGCTGTCCAGGCTATTGCTGCCCAACAACCACCACTTACTACAGTGCATTATAGATCGCTGGCGGCTTATGCTAAAGAATCTAACAAAAAGCGTGCCGATTTTGAAGGTAATCTTTACCGTGTTTTGGAAAATATAGATCCGGAGGAAGCTCCCACTACTCAGTTGTCTGATGATCAAGACACAATTAACGATACTCATGTTAAGATACAAAGTATTATTGAATCTCTTGACCCAGTAGATGAACCAAAGACTCCCTCGGCTCATAGCGAGGCAGGTTCAACTGCACCCACTCTAGCTCAAGCCAATATTAGGCTACCGAAATTAGAATTAAAACAGTTTGACGGTAATCCTTTGCAATGGGTTAGCTTTATAAATTTATTTGACTCAAGTGTCCACAGAAATGCTAGTATCTCAAATGTGGCTAAGTTCAAGTACCTACTAAGTGTCGTGTCTGGCGAGCCCTCAAGTCTGATCAAGTCTCTTAACATCACTACTGCTAATTACTTAGTAGCTTATCAGCTCCTCCGAGAACGCTATCATAATACGAGGCGACTCATAACCTTGCACTTAAATCAAATAATGGACTTACCTGACATTTCCTCAGGGTCCATCCGCAACCTTAGAAATTTCATAAATCTTTATTATGAACATTCTGAAGCGCTAAAAGCTCTTGATTGCGATGTTTCATCAACATCAAATCCCCTCCTCTCAGCCCTCATTTTGCGGAAAATGGATACCGATTTACGCAAAAGGCTAGAAGAGAAGCTTATCGATCGAGCCAAGATTGCGAAGCACACTCACTACCGGAAGTTTCTGATATAATCAAGTTTCTAAACGTTGAATGTAACCAAGCAGAGGATGCAGGGCTGCACTTGCCCCAAACCCCTCGGAAGGCTAATTTTAGCCATTCACCGCAGCCTAAAGGCAAGAAATCTGTTAGTTTCGCTTCTGATAAAACTAGTAAACATGTAGCACTTCTTTCAGCTGGAAAGAGTACCACTAACTTCTCTCTCCTCCCTCAATGTTTTGCTTGCGGTAAAAATGACCATAAAATATATGTGTGTCCTTCTTTTGGAACTAAAACCCCTCAAGAGCGTTATCAGCTTGTAAAAAACAGTAATAGATGTATATCGTGTCTTGGTTACCATGATAGTAAACAATGTAAATCCAGAAACACTTGTACGACCTGCCAAAGACGCCACCACAGTCTATTGCACTTCCAGACTCCGTCCCAATCAGATTCTAGATGGCATAGAGAAAATAATACTACAACCCCTCCGCCTCAGGGACCCAGCTCAGTCACGGCATCCGCTCAAAACACATTTAATCATAAGACTTCATCACAATCTACAGTCCTCCTTGGTACAACTCTTGTCAAGTTGACATCCTCTACCGGACATACTCATGTGTTTCGTGCCCTACTCGATTCAGGTAGTATGTGTGATTTCATCAGTGAGCGTGCCGCTCAGCTCCTGGAAACTCCAAGACATAAGTCGACCCACACTATTGTCGGCATCTCTTCCACAACCTCCCAAACTAAAGGGATTACTCGGCTAAATTTAGCTACTCTCAGTGACAACAATGTTGCATCTCAGCACCCATTCCATATTTTGGACAAGATCGCTATTGATATTCCCCGCTCTCGCCTTGCACCGGAAGTGTTTAAAATGGTAAAACCTTACGTGCTAGCTGATCCCACTTTTCATTTACCAAGTGGTATTGACGTTCTTTTAGGCGTCTCTCTGTTTCCTCTCATTCTTACTCACCAAACACATTCAATTGGTGAAAACATGCCATACCTTATTGGCACTAAGTTTGGATTCGTTGTGATGGGATCCGCCCCTGTTGCAGATGTAAGTTCCTCCGCTCCATGCACATATTCTTCTTTTATCTCTACCAGTGATAATGATCTTCATTCCTCTATCCAAAAATTTTGGACCCAAGAAGAGATCCCACAGTGCAGTAGTAAGACTTTAGAGGAGCAACAGTGTGACAAACATTTCTCTGAAACCCACACACGCAACCAGAATGGCCAGTATGTGGTTAGATTGCCATTCAAGGCTAATCATCCTCCCTTGGGAACCTCTTACCTCCCTGCGCAACGACGCTTGTATTCTTTAGAGCGTAAGTTTGCCGCTCAAAGCTCATTCCGTGACATGTACGTTGCGTTTATGGATGAATATCTCTCTCTCGGTCACATGACCAATCTTGAGACTGTTGATTTAACCTCCCCTCACTATTATCTTCCCCACCACGGGGTTTTGAAAGAAAATAGTAGCTCTACGAACTTCGTACTGTGTTCGATGCTAGTAGCAAGACCAGTTCTGGACTGTCGCTAAATGACATATTACTTACAGGTCCTAAGCTCCAGACGAACATTTGTGACATTGTGCTCCATTTCAGGTCCTATAACATTGTTTTCTCTTGTGACATTCGTCAAATGTATCGTCAAATATTAGTACATCCAGACGATCAGAAATACCAGCTTATCTTATGGCGTAATAACTCTTCCCAGGACCTCTCCACCTACCAGCTGGCTACAGTCACATATGGGGTCAACAGCAGCCCCTATCTCGCTATTAGAACGCTTCATCAGCTAGCTAAAGACGAGGGTGAGGCGTTTCCTGCTGCTGCTCAAGTTTTAACTTCCAATACGTATGTTGATGATATAATCGCAGGTGCTGACACGGTCGAAGATGTTCTAGAACTTCAAAGCCAGATAATTAGCCTTCTGTCCCGTGGTGGATTTGAACTCCGGAAGTGGTCATCCAACGCTAAGGAACTCCTTCAAGCTCTGCCCCAAGAACATCTTGAATTACCTGTATTTCTGGAACATGCTAAAGAACCTCTATTTTCAATATTAGGACTGCAATGGTCACCAGTTTCTGATTGTTTCACTTTCAATATACATTTCTCTGATGCAGCTAATGAGACACCCACCAAACGTCGTGTGCTCAGCTTGGTTGCTAAAATCTACGACCCGTGTGGCTTTCTAGCTCCGTGTACAATGCAAGCAAAATGCTTTATACAGCTGCTCTGGACCACAGGATTAAACTGGGACGAAGAGCTCTCAAGTGACTTAACTTCAATATGGCAAAACTTTGTAACTAATACTCAATCTCTCTCCAATATTCAGATCCCCAGAGCATTCCAGTTTTCAGTTTCAAGCGCTATTGAACTTCACGGCTTCTCAGATGCCTCAGAAAGCGGTTATGCCGCAGTTCTCTATTTCAGATGCAAACTCTCATCCGGTGATGTCACTGTACGTCAAATATTGGCGAAAACTCGTGTATCTCCACTAAAACGAGTCACTCTACCTCGTCTCGAGCTATGTGCTGCTCATCTCCTTGCTCAACTAGCATCATACTGCCTCTCTATGTTTACAAATAAAGTTACATTCTCTCGTACTGTTCTATGGTGTGACTCTTCCATCACTCTAACGTGGCTTCAAACACCACCATACAGACTGAAAACTTATGTGGCAAACAGAGTAGCTCAGACTCAAGAACTTTTCCCCTCACATTGCTGGCGTTACATACCCAGTCAGGATAACCCCGCAGATTGCGCCTCTCGGGGAATAACTGCCACTCAGCTCCAAAATCACCCCTTGTGGTGGACCGGGCCATCTTGGCTCTCTCAGCCTTGTGAAGACTGGCCTAATAGACAATTTACACCTGTCAATTTAGATAACTCAGAAGAAACAAAAGGGGCTGAACTTTTTGTCTTCACTTCGAACTCCAACCCTGAATGGGAACTTTTGACAAGATTTTCCTCGTGGACTAAACTCGTACGCATTACAGCTTACATTCATCGCTTCGTTTACAATGCGAGAAGATCGAACAAGCTGCGAAGTTCTCTCACTACAAATGAACTCAAGTCATCAACCACAAAAATTATCCAACTTGTTCAAAAATCATGTTTTTTCTGAAGAAATCGCCAATCTCCAGAAATCAGCAAACTGCAACTCTAAGTATAAACGCTTGTCACCCTTTCTCGATGAGCACGGAATAGTTCGTGTAGGCGGCCGCATTAAGCATTCTTCGCTCCCCTATGACAGCGTTCATCCCGTATTGCTCCCCAAAAGGCACCATGTTGTAGATCTTATCATAGATGACTGCCACAAAACACATCTTCATGCCGGACCTCAACTCACTCAATCTCTCTTAGCCTCAAGGTTCTGGATCCTCTGTGCGCGTAGTGTTATCCGCTCACGCATATTCAAATGTATCCCTTGTTTTAAAAATAGACCCCGAAACAAGGCGCCTCAAATGGGTAATTTACCCAAAGTTCGTGTCACTCCTGCCAGACCATTCATCTCAACTGGAATGGATTATGGTGGCCCTTTAATTGTTAAAGTCCACAACTTACGCTCAATCAGACACGTTAAGGTCTACTTGTGCATATTCGTTTGTATGGCTACTAAGGCCGTACACATCGAAGTAGTGACAGATATGACTACAGATGCCTTCCTAGCGGCTTTAACTCGTTTTGTCTCAAGAAGAGGCTTAAGTACCAACTTGTACAGCGACTGCGGTACGAATTTTGTAGGTGCAGATAACGCCCTTAAGAAGATTATTAAGTCCACTCAATCTTCAAACCAATTTAAGGACTTTGTCTCTACCAAAGGGATTATTTTCCACTTCAACCCCCCTTCAGCCCCTCATCAGGGTGGGTTATGGGAAAGCGCCATTAAAAGCGCTAAACACCACCTCAAACGGGTCATCGGAACGAACATCCTGACTTTGGCAGAGTTTTCAACTCTGACAACACAGGTAGAAGCCGTTCTGAACTCACGCCCTCTTACGCCGCTTTCATCCGACCCTTCGGACCTGACACCTCTCACTCCAGGACATTTCCTGATCGGCGCCCCTCTAACTGCGGTTCCCGAAGAAGATGTCCAAGACGTCTCCACCAACAGGCTGAAGCACTGGCATCTCGTCAAGGCACTCCATCAGCGAATATGGAAGCGATGGCAGCAAGAGTACCTGCACACCTTGCAACAAAGGATGAAGTGGGCCTCGCACCAAGATAACCTCAAAGTCGGTGATCTTGTGTTAGTGGAACAACAATCTACCCCTCCTCTGACCTGGCCTTTGGCCCGCATTATTGATGTGTCTCCTGGCAAAGACAATGTGGTACGAGTGGTACACTTGAAGACAGCAACCGGCATCCTCACTCGACCCGCTGTAAAAGTGTTTCCACTGCCTCTTGGTTGTGAATAGACTATCAATTGATAGCACTTCATGTATATAGCTTTAGTTATAATTATATGTCTTAGGTGTCTGAAATGTGTCCCTCTGTATTTTGTTTTGAATCTCCAAGTAGATTCAAGGGGGCCCGGATGTTCTGTATTTAATTAATTATTACTATATTTATCAACATAATTATTGTTCAACTAGTGTCCCTGTTGCTCGAATTCGAGCAATTGCTAAGCATTACAGGCGTTATTTTAAAACTACTGTAATTTCAACCAAGTCAGCAAATATTTGTAGCAAACTGTAAATTAGCAAACTTATTGACTGTTTATAATTAACATATGCTCTTCTTCTCACTTTTGATTTCTGACAACAGCTGGAGTTTCATAACAATTTTTGTTTCCCATGTTAATCTTATGGAGAAATACAAAACATTAAAGGACTCCAGGGCCTCACTCTCTCATTATTTCCCTAAAAAGAAAGTTTCCTGCACAACTTCACGTTATGCTCTTTCCAATGACACCAAAAACATGACAATCGGTTCAGTAGTTTCGGAGGAGTAATTGTCACAAAAAATCTGCTTGCGTATTAAATAAGTATAGATTAGTGATAGCTTAATTCCAAACCAAATCTATATTTTTAAATCTCATTTCAATTATGAATGAACACTTTTTAATAATGTTTTTAATAATAATAATACATTTATATTAATATTATAGGAAGGATAGCAAATAAATATTGAAATGTTTTTTTGATCAATATATAAATACATATTTTAAAGTTTTTTTTTATAATAATAATTATATAAGAATAAACACTTTTTTATAATGTTTTTGTAATTAATAATACATATATGAACCATATAATACATATAATACATAATTTAATGAAAGTCTTATATTTAACTTTAAGGCTTTGTTTTTCCATCACCATTTGAAGGTTTTGTAAGAAAGCGGTTTTGTTAAGATATTAGATTTTGTTAGATGTAACCAATTATTGATGGCCCAAAAATTGGCATATTCAAAAGTGGCATATTCTGGGTTTAGAAACAATCTCGTTTGAAATTGAACCAGAGAACTGTTGATTCAATGGCGAGAAGGATAATTACTTGGCTACCCATACAATAAGCAATTTATTTTGACTAAAAATGTTGTCAAAGTATTTTTTTGTTCATTTTGTTCATTTTTGACAATACTTTATTCTTACACATTTCGTAATTAACGTTACTACATAGTATGTTAATAATGAATTCATCGGATAAACTTATTAGTTAGCTACATGACAAAAAATAACCACTTATAATCAAGTTAAATATTTAATTTAATGCGGTGTTTGATGAAACAGTAGGTCTATACAATATAAATAAACAAATATAAATATTCTTAAATAGACGACCTAGCACTTTTGAATGAATTGATATTCGTGTACTGGTAGAACTTCATAAATTTCAACGACAGTCACGAGACAAACAATGAGTCACTATCTGATGTTACCTAGCCTCTGCATATTGTGTGTGCATATTGTATGTGATGTTCTCTTGGTTTGTTGAATATACCCCTTTTAGTGAAACTTTTATACAGTGTGTAAATGAAGTCTTGAAACAAATCTATATTTATAAAACCGAAATAGATACAAATATTGTGTTTGTAATATTGATTCTTAACAAAGGTTCCGCAATTTGTTACACCAAAAAAATTGTTTAACCCCCCTAACAGAGTAAGGGGTAGGGGGTAGGGGGTGACTTATTTTTTTCAAATAGCAACGCCAATCTAGTGACCCCTCATTTTGAAGGGCTTATCAAAAGAAACACAATGACGCAAACCCGAGGTGAATATCTCACCCCTAGTCAAAATGGCAGGTATTTCAAAATGGGTGCATTTTCACATAAATTAAATTTTGGAATACCCGCCATTTAGGCTAGGTGTGAAATATCTACCTCGGTATTGCGTCATTGTATTTCCTTTGACAGACCCTTCAAAATGAGGGATCACTCAATGGGGGTTACTATTTGAAAAATAAGTCACCCCCTATCCACTTCCCTGTTAGGGGGGTGTAAAAAAATATTTATATATATGAATGTAAACGGATGGTGTTTTTTACCTCTAGGGACCTCAAAATGAAAAAGTAAATCGGTCCATGTTCCAGATCTTGTCATGAGTACTACAGCAATAGCTTATTCCGTATATGGGAAATTCGCTAAAAGTAGCTAAATAATTACGAAAAGGGTAACACTATAAATAAAAAAAAAAATAAAAAATAAAAAAGGAATACAAAAAGGAAAAAGGATTAAAAAGGAAAAGGATAATACTAACATTCTGGATTTGTATTTCATTCAATGATAAAAGACTATTTCGTGAGGCTAGGAATGATAAAGGTTTTAACTTTTCTTCATAAGAAGAACCAGTTAACTGAAATTCACGAGTTACAAGATAAAGTATTCAAGATTTATGGTTTCCACTTCAACCAAAATTACTTAGTCAAACGAACAAAATACTTTGAAGTAAAGATAATTATGTTACTATGCGCTACATTTCTATCTGTTGATCTTTTTACTTCCGGTAAACACCGCGTCGGAAATGACGTCACAAAATTACAACCGGAAGTTAACCAAACAAAACCTCTAGCGCATGTTTACTTTTCATCTTTCCAGTGTTATCATTAACTGTTGTGTTTACTAAAACGAACGCATTCTGTTAAGATTAAATTTCCTCATTCATTGAGTGAATGTTTATGACGGTAAAAACCTTCAGTGTATAAGCAGATGCACACCTCATGTATTAAATAGGGTTTTGAAAGCAAACATTATCAAGTATAAAAAATATAATTAATATACTGTAACTAAATTATTTTGATAAATGTTTTATTATAATTTTATAGGATAAATTGGTGTTATTATGTTATAAAACACACAATTTGTAAATGTCATATATGAAACCAACCAAGAAATTTCCAAACTTTAATCTAAATAAGGATAATGTTCAAGACAACTTAAGTACCTGGCTTTACCCCAGTCATTCCTTTGTTTTTAGTAGGTTTAGTGTTGCTTGGGTCTGAATATTTTACACGAATTAGAACAGCAAAAAGGGTTTTTCTAAAACTGTTTTTATTAGATTAAGAAATGAGAATAGCTCATAATATTACTTTTAATTATGAAACACTCTTAGTTTTGTAAATTTTGTAAGTTTTTCTGACCAAAATCTCATACCTTGTTAAAAATATGAGTTGAATTTTCAAAGGTATAACATGTTTCTTGTAAAAATGATAATGAATAGTGTACTACTCTTTAAAAAAATGATAATGAATAGTGTACTACTCTAAAAAATGAAAATGAATAGTGTACTACTAAAAAAAAATTATAATGAATGGTGTAGCCTACTACTCTTAAAAAAATCGATAATGAATAGTGTAGCCTGGTACTAAAAAAAAATTATAATGAATAGTGTAGCCTACTACTCTAAAAAAAAAATTATGAATAGTGTCGCCTACTACTCTTAAAAAAAATTTTAATGAATAGTGTAGCCTTCTACTCTTAAAAAAAATATAATGAATAGTGTAGCCTACTACTCTTAATAAAAAACTAACACAGTTAGTAGATAAAAACGAAAGCATGTTCTTTACTAGATGAATTTACTTTTTATGTGGATACCTCTATTTAGAAAAATTCTTTGCAGTAGGACATTTGAACTACATGCTATTCCAAATAAAGTTCATTAAGTGACTAAATTTAAAATGA